TTGTTGTCATTTACTATAAAAAGAGCTGTAACTAATTAAAAAAAACCCACTATACTCAGATGTCCACCACAGACGGATGATCACATGATGCAAATTAAGCACATTTATCTTCCTTCAGCGAAACCAGGAATAGGTGTGATGACATCACACAGTCTTTAATTTGTATTTCTTATTCCTCCAACCACTTATCTGTAAACATCAAATCTTCCTGCATGATCTAATAATCACCACTTCGTTTTGTCAGAGATTCCCAACAAAGAATCATCACTCACTCCTTATCATGATGGCTACCTCCTCTGGTGGGGTCAATCAGTTCATCCCAAAGACTTTCGTTGTACTTTCCTTCCTGTCTTCTTCCTCCTCTCGGCTCTTCTTCGTGTGTCCTCTGAGTTTGAATCACCCTTCAGACTGAATGAGTCTCTCTGGATACATAAACACAGAATGAAACTATCTTGTTCTCTTGGAGAAGATTCTCTTGTTAGGGAGTTTCAATCACATGGATACATCAACTCATTTAAAATCAAACATGCAAAACAACGACGATCTAAACCAGGGGCCATTCTAAAATCTGCAATTAGGGGTGCTTAGCTCCCAGTACTGACAATGGCTCTTGGCTTGAACAATGTGGTGGCTATTGGCATCAGATGCATTCATAATGTGGGGAGGACACACAGGTGGAGGGGTCTAGGGGTCTGCCCCCAGAAATTTCTGAATAAAGTAGATGCCATTTCCTGCATTCTGGTATATTTTAATGGGTTGTTAAACATGTACATTTACTTACATAAGTAAACACATGATTCATTAACTATTTTAGAGAGCTCGGCACAACAAGAAGTAGCGCTAAGCTAACAGCGTGCAATGCAGAGATGCTACCGATGTAGCACTTTGCTTTATATTACACAATTAATGCTTTGTACAAAACCTGTTTAGTGTTAACTGATCATAACAGATAAAGACTAAACTTATGCAACTAGAAGTTGAAACATATGTCTACATACAGAGCATACAAAACAAATTAGTACCTTTAATTTAATCATTATAAGCATACTGTACAATGTAATTATGACAAAAATGGAGTAGCAGTTACCTTTGTACAGATGAACATGCAGTACTTCCTGTTTGTCACTGTTGTATTCAGCTGCTCACGAGGTCGGCCGCAGGGCTTTATCCATCTTCTACATTTTTCCAGACTCAGTTTAGGTTTTGGAAATGGAATAAACTTTTCCACCCTCTAAATCGGAGCTATTCAACTCAACTGCTCAGGGGGCCACAGTTACTGAGAGCCAGCAGCTCAGGGGCCGGACATCCAGCGATTAAAGCCATTCTGTAAATAAACCAAGTATTAATCTGTTACCTTTTAATTTGTCTGTTTTGTTGCGTTGCATCATAAATGCAATTAACAAAACCCAAACCCAGAACCTCCCTTTTTTTTTTTTTTTTACTTTTTTTTTCTGGGGTGCTGAGCTAAAATTTAGGGGTGCTTGAGCACCCCCAAAAGTGGCTAAAATCGCCACTAATCTGAAACTAAAACTAATCACAAATCGTCTTCAAACAGCATAAATTACTCGTCCCCCCCACCCCCCACCCCCCCCCCACACACACCTAATTTCATACCTACTGACAACCTATAACATAAATTCAAGCTAAACTCCAGAGAGATGACACTTGGATAAAATAAAAAGGCCGTAACGTCCTGCAGCTGTGAACTGCTTCCTGTTCCTCCCAAACTGGTTTGATGGAGCCGCTGTTTGATCCTCGATCAGATGATCAAACCAAACTCTTTCATCACAAATCAAACAGGAAGTGAGAGAGGAGCAAACTCACTGGATTGAACAGACAGCATGAAGCTTTGCTGCTCTAAAGTTCATCAAGGGAAGAGCTTCCACATGACTGTAGATAGCAGATAATGTGCAGCGATGGAACTTTAGTCAATTACTACAATTCCTAGTGGAATTAACAGTTTGTGTAACTGGTTAAAGTTACGTCTGCACAATAACAATTCAACACTAAAGGTGTTTTTTTTTTCCAAACTCATAACACAAACACAAACATTTATCTGGACGTGTGTTTATTTTAATCAGTCTGATGATGATACCCATCACTTTGTTTATTTTTAATCTGTCCTCTTTCCAACAATATCTGATAAATAAATAAATAAATAAATACATAAAACATTTTTTAAAACCACATAACTGATGTTTTCTTGGTACAAAAGGCATTTAGAGAGAATGATGTGTCCATAATATCCATCCATCCATCCATTTTCTTTACCCGCTTATTCCATTTTGGGTCACGGGGGTCGCTGGTGCCCATGTCCAGCAATCACTGTGCGAGGGGCAGGGTACACCCTGAACGGGTCGCAAGTCCATCACAGGGACACATAGAGACAAACAAACATTCACTCTCACCTAGGGACAATTTAGAGTTACCAATCAGCCTAACATGCATGTTTTTGGACTGTGGGAGGAAACCAGAGTAGCCGGAGAAAACCCACGCATGCACGGAGAGAACATGCAAACTCCACCCAGAAAGACCCCTGGACCGGGGTTTGAACCAGGGACCTGCTCGCTGAGAGGCAGCAGCTCTACCAGTTGCGCCACCGTGCTGCCCGTGTCCATACTATGTTTTAGGGAAATGCTAAAATTAGATTTTGTAAATTGGCTTAACAACAACAACAACAACAACAACAACAACAACAACAACAACAACAACAACAACAACAACAACGTAATAAATTAAATAGTTAATCCTGTAAAGCAGGTACAGACAAATGAGTTGATTAAATGTACTTTAATTAGACTAGTCGGATTTAATTATTTAAATTTGAATTAGTTTAATTAGTTTTCTAATTTAAGTAGACAGGACTATTGCAGTGGTTTGTTATCTGGGTGTCCAAATACGTCTTTAAAAAAGTCTTCAGTTGATCCAAATACTGCTGCCAGAATCTTAACTGGAGTTAATAAGGGAGATCATCTCTCTCCAGTTTTAGATTCGCTCCATTGGCTCCCTGTCAAATCCTGAATATAATTCAAAATCTTACTTCTAACATACAAAGCCCTCAACAACCTAGCTCCATTTTATATTTGAGAGCTTATTGTTTCATATTTTCCTAACAGAGCACTTCACTCTCAGACTGCAGGTTTACTTACAGTTCCTAGAGTTTCCAAAAGCAGAATGGGAAGAAGATCTTTCAGTTCTCAGGCTCCTCTCTTGTGGAACCAACTTCCAGTTTCTGTCCGTGAGACTGACACATGGTCCAGTTTTAAGACTTCTTTTTGTTGAATCCTATAGTTATGGCTGGAGAACTATAAGCTTAGACTACTAGAGGACAAATTGACCTAATTTCCTTAAATTAATAGTTAAAATTAAATGGTTTTCATTTGATAGTATTTCTATCTTAACGTGATTCTTGACCTGCCATTGTGTATCTGTTCCTCCTTCCTGTTCCTCTCAAACCCAGCCGGTC